TATTTGTCTGTTATCTAAATAACTTATTTTTATATTTGTCTTTTTTTTGTATAGCTTTAATATCTTCTTATAGTTCTTTATCATTTGGTTTTTTATTAACTATATTTCTTTTCTATATTACTCTATATGAATCTTTTTGTTTTTTTATAGTTACAGCCTTTTGCTATTGCATTTTTTTTTTTATCACTACTGCTTTTTGCATTTGTTTTACTATATCTAGCTTTTTCTTTAACTGTTCTTTCTTAGTTTTTTTTTATTATTTCTCTTATTATTTATAAAAAAGTTATCTTATTTGAGTTTTGCTTGGTAAGTATCATTATAATTTTATCTTCTTTATCTGATATTGTATATGTTTTGCTAACTTCATTAAAGAAAATCTTATTGTAAATACTGCTTATTGTTCAGTATGCTTTTTTTATACAGATTGCTTTAATATTTTCTCTATATTCTTTAGATAAACTTTTATTTATTTTTATTTTTATAGCTGTACTTTTCTAGAAGATTCTTTTGTTTATTTTGTTTTTGTTTTCTTATTTGTTGCTGTGTATTACTTCATCTATTCTTAAATTGGTTACTTACATATATTTGTTATTGCTTAATCTGCTATGTGGCTTTTATGTACTATAAACAGATTTACATTCAGAATCAAGTAGCAATCCTTACAATTATCATTTTACTGCTAAAATTTTTTTAAAAAATTTTTTTTTTTTTGTAACTACTCTAATAGCACTGTATTGTTTCAGGTTCTTAGATTTGTTTAGTATATTTTTTGTGTTGCTTTTTTTAGCTTAGTACTGTTTAAGAAGTTTTCTATTAATAATTGTAAAAAAAATTAGTTTTTTCTTCTTACTAATTTTGTATTTGAGTGATCATTAGAGAGAGTATAAAATAATAATAATAATAATAATAATAATAAAATATTAATAAAGTTAATAATTAAAAAGAATTATTTTAATATTGAAAAAAATTATAAAAAATCTTTATAATTATTATATAATAATATCTTTTATAATAAAAAATTATTATAAACTTAATATTTTATATATTTATATACTTTAGATACAACAATATTTAATATAACTAAAATACACTTATCTTAATATTAACTTTAAATTTAGTTTAAGCTAATGTTATACCTATATATTATATAAAATATTATGCTTATAACTTTTATATTCAGAAGTGTAATTATTTAGTAAAGTAATCAAATTGTCAATCCCTAATTGACAGATTTAAAGTTCAAATTTTAATATTAGCAAAAATTTAAAATTCTTTTTGTATTATGATTAACTGTTTTCTGCTATTGGTTAAAATCAGATACCTATTATTTGTATTATATTAAAATAACTAGAAAATCATATAGCATTTATACAATAGTTATATCTTGTATAAAAAAATACAAACTGCTTTAAACAGTATAAACATGTAATAAGTTCTTATGGTTATATAAATTATAAGAACCAAAAAGATAAAAATCTATTTAGAAAATTCAAGTAAAGAGGTAACTCAAACTTTTAAGAATATTATTATAAAAACTAAACTTATAAAATAGATTTAAAACTTATAAAATCAGATAAAAACAAATCAGTCTTTAGAAAAAGATCATTGTAACTAATTAGATTACTAAGACTGTTCTAAAGAAAAAAATTATATACTAAAAGATTATATAATCTAAAGATATAATTGTATCTATTTTTTTAGATTATCTAAACTAGGAGCTTAATGAAACTTAAATTAAATACTAAAGTAATAAGATATGTTGTGAAGTAAGTATCAAAGTTGAAGTAAACTCTATAAGACCATAGTAATTTAATGGTATATCTTAATTATAAGTGTTAATTTCAACTATAATATTACCAGATTAGCTATAAGAATAGAATACAGAAGATTCTGAAAGGTTTAATACAAGATCAAAATTTTCTTATATAAGTGAACTGTTTTAAAAACTTAGTAATCATGACATATTTGCACTGGTACATATCAATTAGAATATCTTGATAAGTATAGATAGATGAGTGAATATAGAAACTAAAGTATTTAAATAAAGAACTTACAAGCAGGTTCCAAGTATAACAACTAGTATAGAACCTTCAAGCAAACTATTTAAATTAGACAATAACTAAAATTATACAAGTAACTAGTTGTACACTTTTTTTATGATTGCTCTCTGTGGTTGTAATGCAACCATTAACTGAATGTACTATCAATAAAATCTTAGATCGCAAATACTCACCTTAATATTTAAAATAAAAAAATACTTTTACATTCATAATATGATATTAAATTTGATTAAAAATTCTTTGTAACCAATTTTGCTAAACTGATTTTGAAGTAATACGTATAAAAAAAATCAAATTACTCAAAAGTTCAAATAAAATAACATACTTTACAATTATTATATGAACCTATGCCCTTTGTTTGAATAATTTTGAATATGTCATACTGCGGCTATCAAGTGTAACATGTAGTTCAAACTTTTGAAAATCAGCATAGCTGATTGGAATAAAAATCTTTATAGAAAATTTTTTTTATATTCTACTTTATCAAGCAAATTTGTCCACTAAACCGGACGGTTTAAAAGATAATACGTATATACGAAAATAATTTGTTTTATAATAATTTGAAATACTTCATTTATAACTCTAAATTTGGTGCACTATAACCATTAATTAAATTCAAAGTCAAAGATAAAAAAAAAACTTGGTTTATATAATATGCAACTGTTTTAAAACCTGAGTTCTAATTTAACACAAATATTATATTGCTGTTTTGTAATAAAAATATAGTTAGATAATAACGTTTAAAAACGTTCGTCACGCAACAACATTTATCATACAATATTTTTTATTTTTTAAAATAAAATTTAGAATTTCATATTTTTATAAATTGATCACGTGCTTATAGGTGCAACACGATGCAAGTGCATCAAATTATAAAACCCAAATTCTATGCTTCCAATTGAATACCCACACCAAATCTTGATGCGCTCTGATAAAAACGATTAGCCATAACATTTGATTGATCAGTAAATGATTTGATACATATAGGAAAAAAATGTACCTTCATATGTTCAATATCACCAGTGATCAGAAAACTGAGTGCTGGTGTTATTTTTTGTTCTATTACAACACATACGCGACCTGAAGTATCCACCTAGAAGTATATCGATCATAAATAATTGATCATTTGTAAATTAATGGGTTATAAATATTAAAAGCATCTTACCTGGCCTCTAAGCGTTGACGTCCGAAAATCAAATTTACCACCCTTGAAAACAATTCAACAATTAGCATCGGCTTGGTTGGCTGCTGGACAAAGCGAGACTAACACCATATCAGCTACATACTACTGTGCATAAAGCATCTCTTCGCTCTCTTCCTACAAGAATTTGAAGTTCTGTCCCGAACTCCACTTTTTCGTTAATCTTTTGGAAGTACGATGCTTGTATGGTGCCAATTTCTTGCCATTGTACTGTTGCGATATAATTCTTTCCACTATATTTTGCGACGAAGGACTTGAAACATTCTTCACTGTCTGGCGTAGGTTTCTGATACACAGTTTCAACACCCAAGGCAAGCTTCTGCGTTACAGATTGGATATAACTTAAAATATAGATACCAGTATTTTCAACCGGTGATGGATTGATGGTTTTATAATTAATGGAATAATCCGACCCCTGGTAGTCCTGTTCCAATTGAAGCATTGAATGTCCTGGTACTGATGTTATCTTGATAATAATATTTTACCAAATTCAAGAAATTTTAAATGATTGATAAATTATATCTTGAAAAAAAAGGATCTATTCATACATGAGCTTGAATTTTGGTCACATTCTTTGCATTCCATGCATAATTCATACGCGCCGCTAAAGTTCCATCTGTGTCGATAGTGCCATGAAGGAAGGACTATTGATGTATTGTTGAATAAAAAAACTTTTTAACTGGACGAAATGACTCGAAATTTATTTAAATGAAAAAAAAAAATAGAGATATATATATATATGCTTACTTTTGTACCGATGTAAGCAGCGCCAAAGCTATACATTGGTGGTGTTAAAGTTGAGCCCATGGAGAAGGCATGCGTGACTTGTAAATTTTGTGATAAAACTCTGGTGAGATCGGCTCTCCCTCCATCGTACAGTTGGTTTGTAAGGAATGTTGCTGCAATGGGAAAATAAAACGAACAGCTATTTCTAAGAATTCTTGCTTAGTAACACGCGTATCCACTTTGAATTATCTGCATATGTTGCCGGGGTCCAGTAGTTTTATTTAAATGCCCATAAACTGATTTTTTCAACATTTATATTTGTGGTTTGTTCGTACCTTTGACCTCACGGTGTAGACCTTCAAAAGTACCCGGATTGGGTAAATTAAGCTTCTCTCTGTATTCCGCTATTCCATTAAAAAGAGAACTTAAACTCCATGTCGTGGAAGGAGTTGTCTTTGTTAAACCTTTTTCACCCAAACCGGCCATTATGTTGTACTTTGAAAATGGTCACGCGTCGTCTTTCAAAGGTCAGAGACCAAGACAAAATATCGATGAATAAATTTTTCAAAAAAATCTTATCATTGTGCTACCAGATCCTTATGTATGTATATCTACTAATACTACATATAAACAGAATCTAGTTTCTTGCATTAGAATGTATTACCTACGCGTTTTATTATGAACTTTTTTTAACTTAAAAATTTATAATTTATGCATAAATATTACACTATACAGACAAAAAAAAAAACTTTTCAATTTGATAGAATTAAATAAAATTTTTATATTTAAAAGAAATCACACACGCTCAGTTTTTTAATTTTTAGAAATGTTAATGTCTTAAATTAAATATCAGATTAAAATTGATAGATGCTAAATATACGGATATAAAAAGTTACGGATTGTGTTAAAAACAAATGTACAATGAAATGTAACAAAAAAGATGAGGGTAAAATGATATTTAAGTAAACTCTATCAAAAACAATATAGTACAATGTCTATGTCCTATATTAACGTTAATACCCATTATAAGGTGTAGGATCTACAAAATGATTATGATTCCTCGGATTCCTCGGGGCTTCGTAGTTTCTCGGATTCCTCGGGGTTTCATAGTTTCTCGGACTCCTTGGGGCTTCATAGTTTCCCGGACTCCTTGGAGCTTCATAGTTTCTCGGACTCCTTGGGGCTTCATAGTTTCTCGGACTCCTTGGGGCTTCATAGTTTCTTGTACTCCCTGGACTTGATGGTCTTAATGAATTTGAATACATTTGTTGTACTGGAGCAGATCGCGGCATGTGATTGTATGTAGTTGGTGGTGAATTTATTGGAACTAGCGGCTCGGTATATTGATAACCTGGTGAACGTGAGCCATTATTTGTATTTACTGCTTGATCACGCGGATGAGGGTGACGTTCACCACTAGTCGAAGGACCATTGTACGGAGTTGGATCAACCCATCCTGTGTTATTAATATTATAATTACTATTCTCTATAGCCTCTGCTTCATCTGGAGGTATCGAAGGGACACGTGTCGTGAACCTACGTTGTCTTTTGGACCTGCGATAAATACATTGGCAGCAACTAATAATGATTTGGATAAAGTTAATTTGTTGTTGGTAATTTAAATAATTTTGAATATAGATGATAAAATCCATCAGCCTAACCATAATGTTATAAGTATTCCAAGAATTATAGCAACAGGAATTGCTATATTTTTGTTTTGATTTATCCAACCTAAGATAGTGTCTCCTATAAAAATGTATATATATACAGATATTAGTTATAGTCGATGAAATATTATTATAATAATATTTTAAATGATTATGTACCAACTGAACCGGTTATACAAGATCCTTTGCTACACTTTCCGCCAAATCCACAAGGAGTACCATCCACAAAATATCCACTCATTTCAAGGCATTGGGTTGTATCATTTGGATTAGCACAACTAATGGTACATGATGAATAGGATGTGATTGCACATGCTTTCGTAATTCCCATACGAGAACCACGTGTAGCACATTGTAAGTCTCTTGACGTACATATACCACCAGCACATTGAAGACCACTGCCACATGATGTACCATCTTGAATATGTGAATCTGGTGGACAATCACCAGAATTTCCAGGACAAACTTCCGGAATATCACAAGAAGAAACTGCTGGTCGGCAAGTTTCATTGGCAGGTTTATAAGTACAATTCCTGCAACATAAATCATTCGTATCGCTATGAAAAGAAGTCATATTAGTGAACGTTAAGGAATGAAATGTATTTAGGATTGCAAATAAATGATCTATTTACTCGCATTTCGACCCATTCTTTAATTTACAAGTTGCTCCATCACAACAAGGATCCTTTGCACAGTCAGTACCACCTATACGTTTGAAATTAGAATGAATTAACCAAAGTTATATAAAGTGTAATCTAGATAAAATAATTGTCTGCTCACAGTCACACTCTTCTCCTGACTCTTTCAGCCCATTTCCACACATAGCGGTAGTAAGAATGGTTTTTGAACTCGTAGCCGGATCTAAAAATTCCCATTATTGATACAATATTTAAAAAGATATCAATACATAAATTATATTTACGAAACGAACCTTGGAGACAAGTGCCAATATTTGGAAATGTGGTACAAATGTCGTTGATTGAACATGGGCTATAAAAGATCATGTTGATTAACTTTATAGTAACACTAAGAAAAGTTTGTAAGCATTAGCATGGCATACCTAAAATCATTCGTGATCACGTTGCTTGTTGGATTCATAATATACTGTCCACCAGCATCACAAGTTGTTTGACTCAATGGACAGCAACCACAGGCATCATTGACGTTACTGCATGGACATGTGCTTGCAGTGCAATCATGGTAAGCACCTAGAGAATTACTAATACCTAAGTAACATCGCCAATACTTTTATAAAAATTATTGTATGAAATTCAGTTACCGAAACCATGCCCAATTTCATGTGCAACTACCTTCCATTCGTCTTTAACAATCGTAGATACACCAGCCCCTGAAACATAGGCCTGACCGGTACCTAAAGGCGAAACCACCAATTCCATTTAATGAATTAATGAATTGTACGTGCATGTCTTGCAAAGTAGATAAGAAAATTATCACTCACCATTGCTTTGTGAAGATGCAGATGTTTGACATAGCTGTCCTAACCAAGCAATACCAACTTTTGTGCCAGTGCTTTAAAAACAAGATAATGAATATTTAATAATCGTACAAAATTGTGAAAAAGTAAGTGATACGAATCACCCCTATAACATGTTATAATTTGGTACACTCACTTGCATTTGGACATTAGATGCCATAATGCTGCACCATCATCTCCTATGAAACAAGAAAATGCTAGTATGTTAAAATTTCGCGGTTTTGTTTTTTATTTATTTATTTAATTTATTTACCTTTGGTACCTCTCCATTGACTAAAATCACTCAATCTATCACTTATGCTATAAGAATCTGAACATGGTCTATTCCATGTCGGATTAGGAGTTGAAGGACAAGTTGAATCTTGAATCTCAATATAAATTAAACCAAGAGTGACGTTAAAAGTTCTTTCATAAACGGCAGATGCAGTGCCCCAATCGCTGAGAATTTGTTGCCGGGCAGCATCTGATGATTTATAGCTTTCAACTGTTTAGCACATTTAAGAAAAGTTTTTCGATAAATAACTAAAAACAATAAACCATATCTAGATATTGTTTGAACTTGGAAATTAACCACTAACCATAAGTACAATCAGCAGCAGCACCCTAAAATTATATAAAAAAAAAAATTTGATGTTTAAAAGATACAATTGTAATCAAAGAAAAAAAGAAAAATCAATACCATGTATGCTATCCTTCTTGCGGTAGGGCATCCTGATGTAGCTCTCTTTGACAATTTATGTTTTCTAGAAATTGTTCGAACATTAAAACCCAAATTGAACAACCAGTTTTCTGTTCCTACATTGTTTTTATCATTTATTCCAAATATCCAAGGTTTATGGTATTCTACGTAATGTCTATCTGATCGGTTCCGATTGCTTATTTGTTCGTTCATTGCACATGACCATACCTGATCATCATTACCCTTATTAGATTGTTTTATATCAGAATCTCGATAAATGACCATGGTAGCATCACGATGACTAGAATGACGAGAGGACGGATTTGGTATCTCCGGATCATCACGAAATTGAGCTACTTGAAATTTGTCAATGGATTTTATATGGTGAAGGTCGCCCATATAAGAAAAGGTTCCTTCAAATGTCAGATGTTTGTTATTTAAGCTATAAAATAAAAGATGTTAGTTCGACAATTCTGGATCAAAGTTATTCATTAAATGTATAAATGCTTAAGAATTATGCGTACCTTCCATCGTTTAGAACAATTATTCTTGCCCACCCAAGAACACTTGGTAAAGTAGAGAGTTCCTCATGTAAACTGAGCCTTTTAAGGCCAACAATATCTTCGCTTAATCTTCTATCAGTAGAGTCAACGTCCAGCAAGACTCCCTTATATAGTCTGTAATCTTGCGGTATTAACCTTGTTGTTGTACTAGTTTTATTTTTATGGTGTATAGTAATTGTAGCTTCAGGGTGAAATATGTCTGTGTTAGGTTCAAGATGAATATTGAATGTTCTGTTGAATGCAACGAATTTTAACCGCAACGAATCGTCATGTTGCAAGGAAGAATCAAGCTCAAAATCTCGACGACTTAATGACGTTGCGTCAAATCTATTCCTAGGTAGTATCTCCATACGAGGTTTACCAACGAACTCCAAGTATGTTAAAGGGTCTGATGCATAACTATAGGCTGATTAAATGTGTCAAGACATGATTAGCAAGGACATTGAGTTAGTAAAACTATTGAATTAGCGAGAAAGTCAGTCATTTATACTGTGAGTATACTGTTATACTCTCAAGCAAACTATATACCTTTGACACATTGTATTATTGTACCAAGTAGCAAGGCAAACAGGTAAAAGAGTAAATTGAACGAGGAGGTAGTTACCTCCATGTTTATTATAACAATAAGAAATTTAAAATATATAATTTTGTTGGCTCATATATGATAAATAATGAATGGAATTCTCAACAGAGAAGTTGGAAAAAGATAATAAGAAGGGACTTTCCAGAGCCGTTCTATAAAATATTACCACTTACAAACAAGGCGAAGATATTATTAAAATTATTTACTCTGAGGAGAAATAGTCCGAAATTGCAATTAATAGGATTAATACATAGATAGTTGCACAGATACAGTAATGTTGAATAAAGCTCGCTTCTATTTTTGTATCAAAATTTTTAAATATAATCAATGCAATGGTCTTTTCTGGAAGCATAGTTAATAAAATCTATAAAAAGCTAATTTAATTATATTATTCTGTTATTACAGGTATGTCACGTTGATAAGGATGTAATTTCTGTACTTCGGTGTAGCACAAATATTTATTTGGGTAATATAAGTTCCAGATAGTTCAAGGGTTCTTCTTGGCGACTGGGGTACAGATAAAGCAAATTAGGTCCAAAATTAAGAATAACATTATTTTGATTTGCCAAAAAAGAGGTGGCATCTGCTTTACTTCCTTTTAGGCTACATAAGATTGTCAGGATCCGAAACAGTGGATTTTCCGTCAAATCTCATCAAATCGTTTAGATTAGAATAAAGTAACAAAAATGTTGAAACTTTTTGTTGAAACTTTTGCAGTTTTACATAATTGATGAAAGAATGCATTAACCATCACATACGTGTATAAATAATATTAAAAAAGTTCAATCTATGTTGTTTGTCACGCAGGACATCAGGGCATCCGGCATTGTATGCAGTAGTACAATAAAATATGTGACATGATAGTGGGAAGATAGAGGGTGACAATATGTGGGCAGATAGAGGGTGACAATATGTGATTATATCATGTGATCATGTGGTCTTATTAATTACTCTTTTAATATGATCTCACGTTTGTTTACTTATTAGTCTCCCCCCTGACTTTCTCCACGACTGCAGCTACTAAAGGCACTAAATTAATCAAAGAAAGCTGACTATATTAACTCTTTGTCAGTATTTCTTATTTATTGCTGCTCGCTCGCTGTTTTTCTTTATCTCTAAGGTAATTTTTGTACCCGGATCTTTGGTTTAAGTGTCTGTAATAAATCGCCATAATATATCGATTTCACTAAAGCCACTGACACTTTATTGGCAAACGGGTATAGTTTCTGCTGTAAACAACCCTCGTATTAAAGTTTGTTCTTAAAAAGATAATTAAAAAAAAAAAAATTGGCCAGCAAATGACACGAAAATCTGAAGAAGAAATGGTAGACCAATTTTTGAACTATGACGGAGAGGAAAGTGGCGCTACCGGTGTAGAAAGCAGTGCTGCAAATAATAACGCCGATAAAAATACTAACTTAGCAACTGCGGATAAAGCGGATCAAAAGGTTGGTGCAGAAAAAGACCAAAATGAGAAACAACCTGAAAACACTTCGGAACAAGAACCTGCCAATGGTGAGAGTAAGAAAGAAGGCGATAAAGATGAAGATGAGGATAAAGAAGAAGAAGAAATCTATGAAGTTGAAGAGGTTCTTCAACATAAAGAAAAAAGAGTATTTATCTATTAGTTTGATTTATTGTAATCAATTAATTTTAGAATTCTCAACAGTTTGATTATCTGATTACTTTTAGGGTGTTAAATACTATCTAATCAAGTGGAAAGGTATATTTTTTGTAATAGATTAAATATTTTATTTGTTATATGTATATTTTCTATTTTTATTTACTTATTTATTTATTTTTTAAAAAAAGGTTTTGGCGAGGATGATTGTACTTGGGAAGCTGAGTCTAACGTGTATGAATTACTGATAATATAAATACAATTACTACTATTTAAAGCATTTAATTGACTTACATTAATTTCTAAAAATTAAAGCTACGCGGATGACCTTGTTGAAGAATACTGGTCAAAGAAAAAAGAGGAAGAAACCGCATCAACATCAAAATCGAAGGGGAGAAAGAGGGCCGCACAACCATCATCACCTGTTATGAAGCAAGATTCTAAAAGACAGCGTAGTTCAAAGAAAACAAAATCACCGAGAACTAAGATGGAAGAAGATGAATTTGATGAAGATTGGGAAAATCAGGTTGTTGCAGTTGAGACAGTTACACGTGATGATAAAACCGGTGAACTATTGGTATATCTAAAATGGTACGCATATTTAATCATTTGTTTGATAACTAATAGTAATTTTCAATTAATAATGAATGAACATTCAAATTATATTTAGGAAAAATGGGGAAACATCCAGGCATCCAGCGAAAGATGCCAACGCAAGATGTCCCCAGAAGGTATCATCTGAATCTCTTAATAATATGATTCGTCGGTTATGTGTACTTATCTCTAATTATATTTTAACATAGATGATTAAATTCTACGAACAACGCTTGACATTTGCACCTCCTGCGAACCATAATAAAACTTAAGTTCGATGAAAACAAGCATGTTTAATTGCTTTTAGACATACGGGATCAAAGCTTTTGTTTGCGCTATTTCAACTCAAAGAAAAAAAAAAAAAAAAAAAGGATAAAAAATGCTTTATTTTTTTTCACATTAAATCAAGAATGTAAATAGAATATTGATATTAGCGTTCCCAACTTATCGTTAGGTTTTTTCATAGGATTTTATATATATATTTTTTGTTGTGGTGAGTATCAGCATGTTGCAGTATGTTTGATTTTTTGAGAAAGCAGGGTATAATAACGTATAAAATGAGAATGCGCAGTACTGATTAATAAAAATATATTCAGTTTAAAGTGTTGTCTATTTTATTTTGTTTGTACATGAGTTTGGAACCGAATTTAATATGTTGAATCCAGTTTCAACCTTATGCTTAGGTCCTAAAATTTTATAGATAAGCATCGTAGTAACATTTTAAAAAAAAGTTTACGACTGAATATCCTAGATGTTCTAGATATCGATATGTAAGCATGATTCGAGTGCCGTCAAGAAAAAATCTGTCATCGGGCTTTAATTATATTTTTTATCGGACACAATCTCTAACAATTAAACTGATTATGTCCAATACAAAATATAATTGGAAGCCACAAATCTATGTTAATCGGCAATTTAACTGATTCAATTAATAACGATAAATAGTTTCATCATATTTTCGTGCACACGACCTTTCAATTCCAACATGCAGAATGAATTTCTTCATTGCAACGCGTGTTTTGTGTATTTAACGTCCTCCACAGCCCAAGAAACGAAAATACGATTTTGGTTGACTGAGTGTGGTCATATAATTTGTCTGCAGTGTCTAAATAAACACGGTGATACTGGTCAAAGTAATATCTAAAACCTTCGCCTTTAAGTATCATATAATCTCGGAATTTAGTTGTTCTTTCCGAAAACATAATGTATTTGTCATCAACAAATGTTCAGAAAGTTCTTCAACCGCAACCGAACATACTTGTCCTGTGTGCAATATCAAGTGCGCTGCTGTCGAACTGAGCGATCAAGTAAGAATTGGTTGAACTTCCTTAAATGCTACCTTTTTGAAGAATGAGTAATATTAAACCGTTTTACTTAGCTTCCTCCAAACCTCAACATGTTTTTTCGACCTGCCCATGAAATAATGGATGAAGCTGCTGATGTTTTGAGGGTAATTTTACCTTTCTGAATTAAAAGAATTTCTGATATACTATACCATTATTTATATCCAGAGTATGCGTCATTCAGTTTCAGCAAACAAATACATTTTCGTTATTAAGATTTTTGAAAGATGAAGTAACAAAGCAAAAACAAATGCTTGACAAAGCGAAAGACGAATTACTTCAATATAAAGATATAAAAAAGTAATTTACATTATTTATAGTTATATTTTAACTTGTACAATCTCTTCAAATTAACTTGCATGGCATTTACATAAAGTCAATTACAAGCAATTAAAAAAGAAAATCAACGGCTAAAAGCTCAAATACAAGATGTTCGCTCAAGCATAGCTATAAATGAGACGACGGAATCCCCATCAAAGCTTAATTCTAGGTTCGTCTTATTAAAATAACCATATTACATCGATATGAGTTATATATTTAGAAATGTTATATTTTTTTCTAGTTTACGAACTCGTAAACTATCCGGTGATCGTCATAGCAATCATAGTAATCATGTATCGCCAAATCAGGTATTTTATTACGTGCACATCCTTTTATGTTTTCTTTTTATAAAATAATAAACTATTAATAGTTATGTAAGCCAAGGACGCCAAATCCACCAACGCGTTTGTCATTACCAGATAGTAGTTCACCTGTTCATAGCTATTATAATCATAATGGCAATGGATTTACACCAGACAATCAACCATTATGGAATAAAAGTGAAGGATTTGATGATGGAGTAATGTCAAATAAAATAAAGTAGATTCTATTTTATCAATTAGTTTATTATGAAATGTTTCATTAATATGACCATAACAACCAACAAATATTTCGATACATTAACAGTCATGATAAAGGTTTTATTGGCCAATCATCTAATAAAACGTATTCGGCCTTCATTAATGATGGTTACGAAAAATATTCTCAACAATCAAGGTTGCAATCATTTCCTCGTCCCGGAACGGCTTCAGGTACACGTATGACATGGAATCAGTTGCACAATGATGCTGGATATCTAACGCGGCCTAGTACACCAATTATGAATGGTTATGGTAGGTATATAACAATGACAATAATCATTTTAATTATGCTAATTTTAGTCATTGGTTGTAAACATTAAATTTAATTAGGAACACATACTCGGTCCATGACACCAACAAATTTTCAGGCATCACGAATTTCTGCTCGGCCCTTTTTACTGCCTTCACATTCTGATGGATCATCTTTTATGGCACCACAAACGCTGCCACGAACTCCCGTAATGAGAAATCGTAGTGCGTTACCAGGATTAAACAATCAAATATGGTAATGCATTTGAAATATGATAGCGATCATTTCGTAAATTAGTTGCGATTGTCACGTGTTTTTACTTAATTTTATTGGTTAACTGTATAATTGCATGATTTATTTGTAATTGGTTAAAAAAGCTTTTTCTTTTTCATAATTATTCTATAATTAGTTGCTTTAACGTTAACTTTTGTTTAATCGATTCATATCACTAGAGTACGAGCTGATCATTTACTTTTTGAAAGGTTTGATGCTTATCGATATTGGTGTACAAAAATAACTTTATGTAAGTTATAATTATTATTTTTATTATACTTTCAGATGAATCATTTTCTTATATGTAACTAGTGATGGGACCTCCGAGTTTTTAGTTAATAATTAAAAAATTAATAATGCATTATTAATATTGTTAATAGTTAATTATTCTAACCATCGTTATAATTTGTTTGAATTAAATAAATTATTGATGAAGTCATGAAAGTTTAATTTATTAAAAAAAAAAAAATCAAATTTAAATTTGTCGCTTACTGTATTTTTGCGTAATAATACGCAAGGTATAATTTCGAATTTTGCCCTAAATCAAGCTTTAATTCAGGTCAAATCTTAAAATAATGCCTATGGACGTTATTACGTGATAATATGGTAATAATCACGTTTGACAAAAAAATTTTTTTGTTATTAAAATAAGGTTAATAAAAGGTTAATTTATTATATAAAAAAACCATTTTGGGGGTCATGAGCAGACATTTATGTAATCGGCTAATTTACGCATGATTATTGATCAATAAAATCGTCAAATTTCAATTAATTTATAGGGAATTGATATTTATACCTTCATTTTTGATATTCGTATCTTTTATTAAACAAAACTGCTTCAAACCGGACATTTTTATTAAGTAAACCTTTTTAGTAGTTTAAGCAAAGTTGTTTCTCAGACCTTTTTGGTTCTAGTAAACCTATTGAAATTTTAGAAATTCTTGAGTTATTAATATTTAAAGTTTTAGCAAATATTAATTTTAATGATTTTATTATTAACATAACCAAAAAGGTATAAGGAATAATTTTATTTAAGACTATTAAAAAGGTTTATTAATAACAATATCTACTTTAGAACATTTTTGTTTAATAAAAGATACAAATATTAAAAATGTAAGATATAAATATTAACTTTCTTTATATATTATTAAAAATTTTTTTCTTAAGTAGTCTTGCTGGTTATCTTTATTAAAATTCTTGCACATATATATACAATTTGTTTAACTTTTAATTTAATATCTTGAAGATATTTTTATAAGTCTTACAAGTAATTTGTTTGTATTGATTGTTTAATTTTTTAAAAAATTAAAGCAAATTAAAAATTGTATTTTACAATAAAATGTTATTAATTTGATAATATTTTCTTATAAAAAAATAAACAAACCAAAAAAAAACTAATATAAAAAACATAAAAGTATAAAGATAAATAATAAATAATATAATATAAAAAATAAAAAAAAATAAAAAATATATGAGATTTTGTTTTACAATTATTAGATAATCACAATTATAAATCTGTTATTATAGGATTGCAGTCTTCTTAGTACAATATAATTAAATAACAAGGTTATCTAATATAATAATTGATTATTTTAAATATATATAAGGTAAAAATATAATAATTTATTTTACTACACAACAATAAACAAATTATTTAAAATAATAACAGTATATAAATTAAATTTTATTAATAAATAAATAGGGAGAATCTTGATTATATAAATTATTTTAAAAAGAAAATATCATATTTACAAATTAAAAAAAAAGATAATAAGAGTCTATATTAAAATATATAACTTAGAATTAGTAAAAAAAAGATAAAGATATTTTTTATATATCTTTTTATCTAACAGAAGTAGTAAAAATTTGAGTAATAGAGATGTGGCGACCTAGTGAAGTGGTCAGGTTGTTAATCTTTCAAGTGGTAGGTTGGGTGTTCAAATCCCATTGATAGCAAAAATTTGAATAATCACTTATATAATATTTGTATTATAGCAACTGTTACTAACAATTGGGTTAGGATACTTGTAATGGCAGTCGCACTAGCATGACTGGCAGGTCATGAGATATCTGTATAAATATGGCATTATATAAAGGAATGCAAACCGACAAATTGGGTGGTGCAAACACTAGATAAGTCCTTGTGGTCGTATAAATCTGTTAAAATTAGGTAACAAGAAGTCCATTTGGAAAGACCTGAGTAGAGAGATAGCTGAATTTTTAATAGTTTTACTGTAAAGGCTAGCTCAGGAAAACAAATACCAAGGTTATAGTACTCAGTCATAGTAGTCAGACAGACAAGAACCTCTGGATTAGAAGGCTCAGAGGTATCATTAACCAGGCCATCAGAATAAACTGAAGGAAAAAAATATCAGGCCAACCTGATATACCGATGGACTGGTTGTAGTCCTATATGGGCTATCTGGATTGAAAGTTTAGTAAAAAAGCTGAACAAAAGGCAGGAATATACTAAAGTACTGGGATTATGCTGTGAAGTAGATGCTAGGGTCTAAGTGAACTCTACAAGAGCATAGTGATTTAATGGTTAGCCCTGACTGCAAGTGTTAGTTCTGTTATAACGATATCTAGGTCAGCTGTAAAAATGAATACAGATGGCTCTGAGAAGTTTATCTCGAGAATAAATTAGTCCTAAGATTGAGGACAATGATCTAGTACATTTGAGATAACCAGTAATATTAACATAAGATACAGGTTTAGAGGGTTTAAAGTAGAACACCCAAGCAGGGGTGTTAGATACGGCAATTGGTAGGAATCTTCAGACAGACTTCTTAA